ATAATGTTCCATAACACGGTCCAGCTTTGGAAGGGTTAATATAGGTATGTTACACAAGATGAGCCTTCATACAATTAGAGCTACAGGCAGCAAAGCTTACACAGCACACAAACACAACACCGGGACAACATAGCACAACAGAAGGGGAAGAGATTGGAACAAAAAACATCAGCTAAATGCTTTTGTTCTTCCTGCCAAGACTTTCAAGGTCTGTTTAATTAACATATCAGTTAATCAGTTAAAATATCTGTGTAAAATCAAGATAATAGTGAGTTCCCTAAGCTCCCCATCTGAATAATGGCAAATTCAGTCTAGCAGTGAGCCTTTCCAACCTAACAGCATTAGGCTAACACATTTTCATCAGCAGAGATCTTCCACACCGTTCTACAGACACACTAATCCATGTATGAATGGAAAGAATCAAAAAAGCATTCAACAAACAACAAACTCTGTGGTCAGTTTCACTGAATGAAGCATAACACACTCTAACACTTGCTAGATGCTTCCAATGAAGGAGATTTCCAGACTCTCTCTTAGCTGAACTACAAAATAGGCAGAGGTGTAAAATTCAGGTCCAGAAAGTAAAAATCCTTCCCAGGATTTTGTTCCAACTGCCTGGACAGCTCTGCTAGTGGTTTGATCTAACTAGAGAAGCCAGGCCGTTGGAACAAAATCCTGGGAAGGATTTTTACTTTCTGGACCTGAATTTTACACCTCTGAAAACAGGACAGGTAAAGGGAAGGACATCAGAGATACACTGGACGTATAATTAATCTGCCTACTGGCAGGACTGTCACACAAATTCCAAACGCAGGGAAATATGAGCTGTTTAATGGGGGGTAGAACAGCGTAGCACTAACCCACAGGCCACAATAGCGCTAGTCTACAAAGGAAATGAAAGGGATGGATGTGAGAGCCCGAGGGAAACGGCATCAAACATTCCTGCAGTATTGTTCTTCAGAAGAGGTGCTCTTCTCCGACAGAACAAATACTGTACAGCACACAGCACAGTGACTCGACGGCTCAGTGGCTAACGCACCTCTTACTAACGTCTCCCTAAAAGTTACGGGCAAGAGGAGCTGCAGTTAAGGATTCATTAGCCTCTTGGATAGCCACACCATAAATAACATCTTTTTTGTCTTGAGGAATTTCTCATTGCAGCAAAAAGCAATTTTCCCAGCTTCATCAACACAATTATGTCTTTCATTTGACCTATTTATGGCCATAACTGTTAATAAAAATATGTCATACATGTGAAAATGAAGTACACATTTCAAGCATCACTTTTTTTCAGTGTGTTGAAAGGTCCAGTCCAGCTTCAACGAGCCACTCCCAGAGCACAGAGATAATGATGTTCCCACGGCTGGGGCGGGAAATGGGAGAAAAGTGAGGAAAAGCCGTGAGTAAAGGAGTGAGGGAAGTGGAAAACAGGCACGAATTCCTGCTAGCATGCTGAGAGACGGCAACAACACACGACTGACACTGAGCGGAAGAAATCCAGGCACTGCAAAGGAGCAGACAGATAAAGAACTGAGAACTTACAGGCCGACAATAAAGCCCAGTCACACAAACATGTTTTGAACATGCCCTTGAGCTGAGCTCCTGAACCAAATCCAATTTCAGAGATGAATTCTGAGATGCTCGTGCTTTGAAACTGCAAACTGTTTAAGGAGAGACACTTCACAGTCTAATTAAGAAGTGACTGATATATTACCACTAATGAATGCACAGGTCTTGATGTAATAAGCAATCATCTCCTTCAGGGGCCACTGTTGAAGATGAAGGCTGAATACAAATTAAACTACAAAGCTGGCTACAAACTGGCAATGACCGCAGTTGACTGTTAATACACAGTAATGTACAGGTGGGTTTCCATGCAGAGCAATCACAGCGCACTCAGCACACAAACACAGGAGTTCAGGGGGCGTACAACAACACACATACACAGGACACTGACTGCTTTAACCACAACACACACACACAGACACACAGCAAGACACCATAAAGCTGGAGTGGCATTAATGCCATTTATTAACATATAGAAAGTATTACAAATTCATTAGTCCCATATACATTCTTTCATTTAGCTGGCCTTAATTCAGTTCATCTACACAAACACAGGAGTAATACAAGCTGTACTCCTATTCAGTATATAGGTACAGATATAGTCAAAGCATAGGTATAAAACACTGATGATACTTCCATTTCATCGCTGTCATATCAAAACATTTTTACATGATCTAAATTCTGATCTATTAGCCTCTTTTTCTACTGACTGTGTGAACATGTCACAATAAATGGACCAATAGAAATGGTCCAAAATGACTTTTGGTCACATTCAGTTAAAGTTAAAATGTTTTCTACTTTTCTAGGCCTTTCACAATCATGACGTTTTGGCTGACAATTAACTGCCATATATATAATTGCAAATGACAATTTAATTGTATGAAATGGTAATTTAATTGGTAATTGTATGCAATGTATGTTTTACAGTACAAGACCAACATGGCCAAATTGGCCATCTTGAAATTGCCAAATCTTCCTCACTGTTAATGTTTACTAGCTCTCAACTGACAACAGACACAGCTGAAGCTCAAATAAACAAACATTAATCACTGCTGCCCTCTAAAGGTATAACAGCACAAGTCAAAATATACAACTTTTGTTGTTTTCGAAAGACTCATGATGTGTCTCAATAAATGTGTTTTCTGCTTTCTTTTATTTAGATAAATTTGCCTCAATGCAGTGGATGAAAATGCACGCAATTCACATTCTGTCTGTTGAGATGTATATGCAACAGTTTGGTTGCCTCTGTTGAAATGACATCTTTTCTTGATTTTGTAACTGAAAATACAACCCCAATTCCAAAAATGTTGGGACAGGGCCATGTCCAATTTTGATTCATCTGACCACAGAACAGTTTTCCATTTTGCCTCAGTCCATTTTAAATGAGCTCGGGCCCAGAGAAGTTGGCAGCGTTTCTGGATCCTGTTTAATCAAATCAAATCAAATCAAATCAGATTTATTGTCACATCACAAGAGTACAGGGACACAGGTGAGTGAAAAACTTGAGTGCGAGTTCCACAAATTATGCAGATAACATAATTTACACATAGATAAAACACAACTTAGATAGGATAGAAGAATAGATAAAACCATTAAACTAAATATATACATATATTCGTACACAATGACTTAAAACTAATAATAGTGCACCGAGACATATAATATTGCCACTGGGAATGTAGAGTGAGTGTAATCAACTATATACTATATATAGTAATGGATATTACAATGCTATGTAGATGTGCAAGTAATCACACTAGGTGTGGAGGTAGAAGATGGTACAGTAGGTGGCAGAGTATTTATTAAAGTGCAAGGTACAGGAAAGTTAAGTGGAGCGCAGGGGGAGAGTATTGTCTTTGGATAGGTTATTCAAAGTCCAGCTATGCAAGTAAAGTGCAGGAGTACAGTGGGTGCACGTACGTGTAATGGGAAGGTTTTGGCTGGGCAGAGCAGTGATTACTGGCGGTGTTCAATAGCCTGGTTGCATGGGGGAAGAGCTGTCTTTTGAGCCGACTGTTGTCTGCTTTTAGCTTCTGAGCCTCCTACCACTAGGCAGCCTGAGAGAACAGACAGTGGACTAGGATGGTAGGGTTCTTCATAATCCCTTCTGGATTTCCTCAGGCAGCGACTGGTGTATAAATCCAATAGGTTAGGGAGCTGAACCCCGGTGATGGACTGTGCTGTCCGCACCACCCTCTGCAGAGTTTATATGGTTTCTTCTTTGCATGATGCAGCTTTAACTTTCATTTGTGGATTGCACAGTGAACTGTGTTTACAGACAGTGTTGCTGAGCCCATGCAGTGATTTCCAGTACAGAATCATGCCTGTTTTTGATGCAGTGCCGTCGGAGGGCCCGAAGATCACGAGCATCCAATACTGACCGTCGGCTTTGTCCCCTGCATACAGTGATTTCTCCAGCTTCTCTGAATCTTATCATGATATTATGTACTGTAGATGGAGGGGATATCCAAAGTCTTCACAATTTTACGTTGAGGAACATTTTTCTGAAATTGCTCCACAATTTTTAGACGCAGTTTTTTGCAGATTGGTAAACCTCTGCCCATCTCTGCTTCTGAGAGACTCCGCCTCTCTAAAATGCTCTTTTTATATTCAGTCATGTGAGTTAGTTGCGAATTGCTCCTCCAACTGTTTTTTATTGGTACCACTTACTTTTCCAGCCTTTTGTTGCCCCTGTCCCAACTTTTTTGAGATGCGTTGCTGCCATCAAGTTCTAAATGAGTTAATGTTTTTCATGAAATGGTAAAATGTCTCACTTTCAACATCTGATGTGTTCTATGTTCTATTGCGAATAAAATGGTCTATGAGATTTGCAAATCATCACATTCTGTTTTTATTTACATTTATTTACATTTTACACAGTGTCCCAACTTTGTGGGAATTGGGGTTGTATTTACACATGCTCTACAGAAAACACACTTCATACAAAGTTACGGCACATTTTATATTTTATGTTTAATTTTTGCCAATATGTTCAAACAGAAGTTGTGCACTAAAAATTGCAGGTAAAAAAGTCATATTTAATACTGTTCCCTTTAGAGGACGTGTTAACTTATTTTCACTTGGGTGTTCAAACTTTTGCATACAACTACAAACACACTGTTAAAGCTCACAACTGTGAAAAATCACTGGGACCAGCTCAAATAATTGCCATCAGGAGACTGTAGTAATTGTGATGTGATCATTCTCCTATAAAGCTACTGTTTCAGAAATGCAATGTTTTGTTATGACAGCAACAGTTTGCTTCCTAGCACTGCCTCATTCCAGGAATAACCTATGTGGCTGTGGTCTGTTCAGTGGTCAGACAAGCCTACCACTGTCACCTAGGTCAGTCTGGTCACAAGCACTCAGACACATTTGAGAACCAGCCCAAATAAGCCTATTTCGTGAAAAAGCCCAGGGCTGAATGTTCTTACCTTGAAGGCGTACTTGCGACTGATGTGGTCTTCAGGCTCCACTGGCGCGATGACGTAGCTGGGCAGAGGAATGCTGCCCAAAACTGTCTCCTCTCGACTGTCTGTGGTGGAGCAGAACAAAACGTATCCAATGATGCCGAAAATAAAAGTCCCAGCTAATGTATCTTACAACAGCTGCACACTCTCTAAAACTCCACTCCACTTTCCGAAAAGTGCACACCAGGCCCCGGCCAAAAGAGAAAGAGAGAGAGACAGAAAACTAATTGGATTGAACTATAATTGGCCTGGGCTGGTGGGAGGGCTGTTAGAGGAGATGCTCTCTGCATGGTGCCACCATCCTAATCAGAGCATTAGGATGAGACAGAGTTCAACAGAATACCAGCATTAAATCGTTCATAAGTAGAGCCCACCATGTCTCATTTGGGTAAATCAAACAGGCATGAAGAAAACATCTACAACAAACAAAAATACATGAAAAACAACATGAAAACTGTGTAATACATCTCACAAAAATGTAGCGATGCACCAATCCAAATCTGATATCTGAACTGAGTAATGATCTGATACCAGGGCTCTCTTAAGGCACTTTTGTCATGGTAGCAAATTGGGCACTAATTGTCTCTTGTTGTAACACTCTGACTGGCCAGTATGAAACATTTGTTTCTCTAACTGATCTAGCCGAAAAGCAATGCAAAGGATCACGCATGAAGTGTGTTAATACTTCAAAGAGAATATTTCTATAATTGCATTCATACATGAACAACCTTTTCAGGATTGAGCAATTTTTTATTATGTCGTTCTAGAAGGTTTGTAAGCCTGCACTGTTTTAAAGTTTTCAGTGTTTTCATAACAAACAGAGCTAAGAATCTGTATCGAATGAGGATCTGTCACATCCAGCTGGTATATGATCCACTTAACCCTATTTAACCAAACATTTTGCTACTGATACACTCAGAGACTTGAGTGTAACTCATTTAAATCTGCTGCCAGGTTACGTTGTCAGCAGCACATGCCATATTTTACTATGACCTATGCTGGAGTTTTCATATTTTACTATGTGCTGCTGGAGTTTTCTGTGAGCTACTGTGTATTCTATCACAAAGCTTCCTATATCGTTAAATGAACTGAGAACACAACGAAGCTCGAATCAGCAAGTACTTATTATAATGTTTAAAAAGAGTAACAATAAAACTCATACGTGACTTACATTACTATTTGTGCGTTTTCTGGTTCAAAAAGGGTTTTTTTCCCTTTTTTAACTCTGTTAGATTGTGTTCATTGTATGCAACCACCCTTTATTTATATAATTTCCCATCAAAATGATCATTAAGTACAAGTTTCAGGAGACATTTCCTGAGGAAATTAGAAATAAAATGATCTACTTCAATTTCCAAAAGTAGAGTTTAAAAAAATCAATAAAAGATACAGAGAAAAAGGGACTCCTAACAACAATCTAGAGCCCTCAAAGAACCTCAGCATCATTAAATGCGTTTGGGATTATGTGGATCAGGAGATGCAGAAAGTACAACCAACTTCTAAGACTGAACTTTGGAGATGGAAAAAATATCCCTGCAGATTTATCTGAAAAACTGAAGGCAAGTTGTAATAAAGGTGGACACACTTAATACTGAAAGAGTTTTATATTTACTTATTGAGGCTTCTATGTAAATTTATGTTAGATATATGTTTATATCCCTGATTTCTACTCAGTACTGTATCCAATAAATGCAACGACAGCATTGAAAAATCACATCATTACCAGAAAAGAGCAGATTAACCCTTGTGTGGTGTTGATGTGTGTGTTACTCAGTGGTCTGCTGGACCCACCACATTATTGTTTTTTAAATTAATACAGCCATAACAAATTATGTTAAAATACCAGATGTTTAAAATATCACAAGTGTCCAGCGTAGGGTTCTCCTTTAGCAGCTGTAGCCAGTCAGCAGCCTGTCCATGTTATACACCCTTACACACACAGACACACACACACTAACAGCAGGCCATGTAGGAGGAGAACAGAGTGAAGGACACAGCACCTCCACACTTTTACTCCCCGCTGGTTCACCCAACACCACGTGTAATATAAATGTGTGGGGGGTGAACAGAGTGAAGGCACTGAAAATGGGTTTTTTTATATGTTCTTCACAGAAAATGACCAAGAAGAAGGCCAAGAAATCCAAGGTTGAAATAATAATAAATGGCATCATTTTTTATTTTGGTGAACACTGAATATGGATCCCACAGACCTGAACACCACACAAGGGTTAAACAGCAGAATAATACTTTTTTGCTTGTGTTTCAAGCTGTTAATAAGGTATTAGCGCCGATACTGATTTAGTATATTGGATCAGTGCATCACTTCCACACAGACACCCAGTTTCACATTTGGTGAACGGAAAAGAAATCATGTTCCCCAAACAAGAGCCCAGAGCTGCTTTGTACTGCTTCATCTAATTGTAATTAATCACTCTGCATTGCCAGGAGTGCACGGTGACTCACCTTTGTAATAAAAGAGGCAGTAATCCGACAACACAAACCACTTGCGCTTCCACAGCCTCATCCCCGAGCTGTCCTGCGGGCGAAAGCACAACATCCGTTCAGCCCTCTTTTGACTGAGTTGCGTTTTAATTACGTTCCATTAGCCGGGGAATTGCGGTTTACAGGAAAAAAGGAGGCACGGACAAAAAAAAAATAAATAAGCAAGCTCCCTGTATATCATTAGCGGCCTCTGTAATTGAATTGAGGCAAAAAGGTTCCCGCCGCAGTCTGGATCATTCGAGTTCATTTCCCGTGTTTGGCCTGTGTGGGGGCTTTGCTGGGCCTCAGAACTCTGACGGAGATTTGCCTCTTCATCAGACTTTCATTAGGGGGCGGCCTGTATTGCTATAGTGGATGTTTATACAGTCATTACTGTGGCCATGGCCCTCTATCTCAGAGGGGCTGCACGCAGAGACACACGCACAGACCTTTCAGAGTTCTGGGCAGTGTTAGAGATAATTACCTTCTGCAGCACCTTAAATGAGTTCATTCATTCTTCATCTATCAATAAGCCCAGATGAGAAAGGCGTTTAACCCCTTATACTCTCAGAGACCTGCATGAGGGTGTACACTTCTATTTCTCACTCTCATGACTGCATAACGTACATATTAGTTTCACAGTAGTGACTGGATAATTTGTTGTAATTACTGAATAATAAGTGTTAGCATTAATAAGAGAATCAATAGCCTGGAGAATCAATCCACTGAGTTCACATGGTGGAGTTTACTTAGTGAGAGCGCCGGGTCATACTAATTTATCATTCAATACGTTCGCCCTGACCTTTGTTTAACCCTATCTTACCAAAGTCAACATCCGCAACACACTCTGTGGGTCACAGTCTCTATGAAGACTATGGCTTTGTCCCATTTAAAGGTGATTCCACTGATCTTTAAAAAGCTCTGCACTCTAATTCAACCTTCGAGACGTAAACAAAGTCATTCAGAGCAGTTTGATGTGAAATTTCCAAACAGAGAAGTCAAGTCAAGTCAAAGTTTATTTATGTAGAGCTGTTTACAACAGGTGTTGTCACAAAGCAGCTTTACAGAAAAATCCGGGTCCGAGCCCCCATGAGTGTCGCCAATGGAGACAGTGGCAAGGAAAAACTTCCTAAGAGCAAAGAGGAAGAAACCTTGAGAGGAACCAACACTTAAAAGGGGAACCCATCCTCCTCTGGACCACACCGGATAGCAAACAGCATTAGTATAAAATATTAGAATACAAAACTGTAAAGATGTGTTTACAGTGGTGTTGATAGGAACCAGGGGTCACAATGTCTATGACACAAATATGAACCTGCAATTTTTTATATGTAAACACATCAAAACAGAGGGAAATCTTTTCTCTTCAGGAACATATAACATACATATTACATGCGACAACAGAATGAGAGGACCTGTCTATTCATGATATTATCTATAGTTTTTGTGATATTATTACTATGATGTTACTATGAACTTGCCAAGAAAGCCTAATGTTGATCTTTTTTGTTGAGAGATTTTTGAAACACCATTTTCTGCCATTTTCTACTGTTCGACTGAGTTGGGCAGAACTAAATTTGTCATAGGTGACATCAGACCCGCCGAAGTACCAACCAGAGTTAGCAATATTTATATGTCAGCTATTCTCCCTCACATAAAGCGACCGCTCTCCCGCTGCACTCACAGACAAAACTCCCAGCAAACAGGTTATTAAGCTTTTCTAAATTTGCTAAAAGTGCTCGTAATCGAGGTTTATTACACTGTTTTTTGTTGCATGGCTAGACTCTGCTTTCTACCTGCTGCAGGATCCTACTACAGGCGATAAGCTTAATTTACACGAGCGCGATAGTTAGCAGTTCACCATAAATTTGCAATTGCACTTCACATGCATGGCTTACAATCAGGCACATGAGAAATTTCTCCACAGTGTCTGTAAATATGACAGTGTTGACTCATAACAGAAGCTTGTGTGAGCTCAGAGGCACGATCCCGCAGTGAGCCAGCTATAGGTTATCAATATAACGTTAGTGCTGAGTACTTGAATATTGTCTGTGATGTACCTGTCATAAGATGAAAGCCTGAGTTTTGCTGCAAAACATAATTAGATCCTAAAATGACCATTAGATAGCTTTTCCTCCATTGTGAGCTTCTTAGCCACCATTCAGAGAATGGATGAGAAGAGCGAAGGGGTCAAGGAGGGGAGGAGGCTCAAATGTAGAAGGCTGAACCACTGATTTGTGGTGTTGCTCACCACTGTCGCCAGGTTATTTATGTTACCAGGGAGACGCCATTGTCAATCATTATGCAATACGACATGCCCACACAGAGGAGCATCTACTATTAAACTGTATTAATTAAATATATTTTTTAAGTATATGTATAACACTGGTAAACGCATATTCCGTGGCATATCTTTACCTTTAAACCAAAATTTTAAACACTTTAAACAACGAAGGCTTTAAGAAATCATGTTATTGACAGAGAAGAACCACTGTTTTTGACAGTCTGACAGTTCAGCACCAGCCTGAGGTTGATAAATAACTCACAAATAAGTTTGATGCTGATGGCTTAGCTCACCTGTTTGTAGAGCCATCCTCTCACTACGACAGGGACGTTGGGGTTCCTCTTGATGGCGTGATCTCTCTTCCCAAAGCTGTGCACTTTCCCACTGGGTTTCACGCTCTAAACCAAGGAGAAAAATCGTACTGTTTTGTATGATTCACAACACAGCAGCATCCTGGAATGCAAGTCAGCCATAACTTCCTCAGTGCACATTTTGATTTGTATGGAAAAGGTAACAGCTCAGGTTAGTAATACAGAACATCATCACTGAGCCTGAAATGTCAAACCTGTCACCACTCTGGCATTATTTCAATACAAACTGCCTTCTTCTTTCGCTATGAAGAAACAGCAAAAGCTTTCTACAGCTAGCATAAGCAGGCGCGGCCCACTCAGCACACACGGCCGTAAAATACGAGTCCGAAATCTGACAGTTTGCTGGTGGATTCTCTGCGCACTCCATTCATCATATCCAGAACATACAGAGCTAAGACAATATTGACTATTTGTCAACTCAGTGCTGTCCGAGACAAACTTTGGCAATGCTCTTTCCCTGAGAAAAAAGTACACTGCACTGTTTTAATTTCACCTCAGCTTCTAGAAACATAAATACAGAAAAATGTAACAAAAGTTTCCATGATGCACAAGTGGCTGAATAACTGATTTCATAAAAGAGTACACAGAGTCTTTGGCAAAGCTTCAGCAGTAAGATAAGCATCACAGTCTTGACTGTTAGAGACCAATTCCTACCGCAGACGGAGGAAGGCCTCGATTTCAGTGAAACTTCTGACTGATGGGTGATAAAAGTGGGGATATTAAAAAGATATGAATCATATTTCCTGCACAAATGCTGTAGTGACTACAAAGAGCCTTTGTTCTGGTTTAGGTAGGTATAAAACAAGTGCTGAAAATCTAATGATGGACAACGCATGATGCTCTCATGTCCAATCAGTCAGTAATCCATTCCAGCGTGATAACTATTATTATACTGACGCAGAGCTGCCATTCTAGAGAAGAGACTGGGGACCCAACTAAAAATGGTGCTCATGCCTGTCAAGCCTGAACATGAATGTTATTATGTGTCAACAACAAATTCACACTGGGAGGAATATGGAGGGCAGCCATCACTATTCCTGCTGTCGCTGCCAAGGCTGGCTGCAGTGGAGTAGCCAGAGGGGGAACATGGGGTCTCCAGGACTGTTAGTGAAACTGGCAGGGGACCAGCCTTGTAGTCTGGGTCACATCCTAAAGAGCCCTCCAGATGGACTGAGTATCAGGTGAACGCCACACATGCAGGCCCAGGATGAGTGCCAAGGCACGTCACACTAAGGTCACAGTCTGGCAGCTCTACGAGCCTCAGCATACGCTGCTCAGAGAGAATAGTTTGGTGAGAAATATACATACATACATCATCTAAACCGCTTATCCTTCTGGGTCACGGTGGGGTGCTGGAGCCTATCCCAGCTGTCACTGGGCAGAAGGCAGGATACACCCTGGACAGGTCGCCAGTCCATCGCAGGGCAGACAGACAGACATACACATTCACACCTAGGGGCGATTTAGCGAGTCCAATTAGCTTAACTGCATGTTTTTGGACTGTGGGAGGAAACCGGAGTACGCAGAGGAAACCCACGCAGACACGGGGAGAACATGCAAACTCCACACAGAAACGACCCTGGTCGCCCGGCCGGGAATCAAACCCAGGCCATTCTCGCTGTGAGGCGACAGCGCTACCCACTGCGCCACCATGCTGCCCGCGGGTGTCCAATCTGTCCTCCTTTGGTTTTGCACTGGTTAGGCTGACATGGCTAACAAGTAATAGAAGCTTATACTCTAAAACTTAGCATCACATAAACTGCATGCCTAAAGCCGATTTTACACCACAAGCAATGTATTAGGGCCTGGATAGCTCAGTCGGTAGAGCATCAGACTTTTGGGGTCAGCTGTGGGCTGGAGGTTAGGGAACCAGCCTTGTGACCAGAAGGTCACCGGTTCGATCCCCTGAGCAAAGCATCTAACCAGTGTACTCACCGCCCCCTAGTGTGTGTGCGTTCAACAGTGTGTATGTGGGTGTTTCACTGCACAGATGGGTTAAACATGGAGGTAAATTTCCCTGTTGTGGGACTAAGAAGGCTAATTTAACTTAAAACCTATTACGTGTGGCAGCAAGCCTAAACTGTTCTATGATGGTTGCTATTTCATACCGGACACAACTCTAATCACATGTTCAAGTTCAACTTTTCCTTCTTCAACATTTAAATGATCTACATCTGTTTTTTCCAGTAAATTAATCAATTAATATGTTAAGGTAACCTGATGATGTCTTTATTCTATTTACTAGCCAGATAAACTTCATGTGGATGACATTTGAGCATTTCTATTAGCCATTAACCGTTTCAAAAAGTTTTTAATTGGCCGATTCTTCAGTTAATTCCCTCATTGTTCCAAAAGAGTTTATATTAGTCCAATGCTGCTGCAACAGCTTCAAATACAGCTGTCTGCTCTTTTGATTCTGGGCCTAGACTCCACAACACAGAAGAAATACTTCATTATGTAGTTTTTTTAGCTAGAAATAGCTAACATGCCTCATGCAGCAAGCAGCAAAAATATATAAACACAAAGTGTATTTCCGTACTTCACATACGTTACTGTCGCAAAAGATTAACGTTAATTAATGCTTACAATGCCTGGCGTAAAAAGGGGCTTCAGTCATTACACGGTTGCCTTAAATTGCATTAAGTTGTTAAGTAAACACAAACAGACTTGAACAGGGTATGACGTGCTGTCATTTATAAAAATGGACAAAAGTATGGACAAAATTCAGGCTCCAGGATGACCGCTGCTGTTTTTATCTATGTAATGTTGTGCATTCATATAGATTAGAGACGCACCAAATTTTCGCCCACCGAAAGAGAAGAACAAATTACAATTTGAAAAAAAAGATCAAATAGGTCAGTAACAAAGTTTCAAAGTCTAAGACTATACGAATCATTTTAATAGTAATGAAAATGATAAATAGTGATTAAAACACTCTTTGTTCCTTCCACTCTCCTGTGCCAGTCAGCACTGACATGTTCAAGCAGCCTGAGCAGTAGTGGAGCTACCTCACAGTTTAGACAAATGATTTAAAATCTCTGTTCAGGTTGAATATTAAAATGGGTTACAACACCTAAGAACCTCTCCAATGCAGGTTTGACACCACTTGAAAACACAACATCTCACTCAATACACAAAATAGAGCAAAAAAAACAGAAGCGAGCGTACCAGCACCATCTTTAGCCACAGTTTTTGAAATTATAGGAAAATTCACAAACGACAGTCCAAAGTGCAAAGTATAAATAAGGAATAACAGAAGTTGTTGCTTTGGATGACCAACCATTACCTGTTGTCAGGGTTGTTGGATTTCATGGCATATACTGTAGCCTCACTCACTAATAATGTTTTGTCAGCCCACTGGATCCTGAATTTCGGTTTTGGCCAAAAGTTTTCATTTCGGTGCATCATTACTTTAAATAACAGTACGTCATACAGTGTCAGGACAGCCCGTCAGCAAGTCTGCTCCTATTGTACCAAACTATTCCTTTAATTAAAAAAGTTTCCGAGTGAAAATATAACACCATTCTACACTCTGAAGTGCCATGCAGGTGCTGCCTTAAATTTGATGTAAGTGGTGGAGACATTCAGTGAGGCAGGTAGTCCCCCGCAGCGTGGCTCATGCAGCGTTAGCACTCCTTCTCACACGTACTGGATGGTGGAGGAGATTTAATCCAGCCCCCTCATGCTGGAAAAATCACTAACCTATTACAGGATCCACTCAGCCCATTCGTCAACATCAGAGCCAGAGAGCAAAAATAGCTTAAACAGAGTTCAGTTTCCCTATTAGCCTTAAAACTCTATCAGTTTTCGATATAATTTAATGCTAGCTGCTTCACCATCCAGGCGGCACGGTGGCGCAGTGGGTAGCTCTGTCGCCTCACAGCAAGAATGGCCTGGGTTCGATTCCCGGCCGGGCGACCAGGGTCATTTCTGTGTGGAGTTTGCCTGTTCTCCCCGTGTCTGCGTGGGGCTACTCCGGTTTCCTCCCACAGTCCAAAGACATGCAGTCAGGCCAATGGGACATGCTAAATTGCCCCTAGGTGTGAGTGTGTGTGAATGTGTATGTCTGTCTGTCTGCCCTGTGATGGACTGGCGACCTGTCCAGGGTGTATCCTGCCTTCCGCCCAACGACAGCTGGGATAGGCTCCCCACCGCGACCCAGAAGGATAAGCAGTTTAGATGATGGATGGATGGGTGCTTCACCATCCACTTCCACATGTATTAAGGTCTACTGAGGCTGCTGATGGCACTGTCAGTTAGCCAGCGCAGCTTTGGGAGTCAGGTTTTAGAAAGTTCTGGAAACTTGGCTGTCTACTTTTACAGTCCAATGTCCCTCTACCCAAATGCATCAGCATAAACCATAATTACAGTAAAACAGGTTTTGCATCAGCATATAATCTCTGTCATGTAGAAAGAATCTCCATTATAGTTTATACCAACTGTCTGTTACTTTATGTGAACATTTATTAAAAAAATCAAAACAGCCCAACAGTTTTTTGTTCTACCATTTCAGATCTTACAACAGTAACGACGTTGACAGTGCTGTCATGTTGACGGCACTGTATTTATACCTTTATATTTCTGCATCTGTTTATCTCTGAACATGTGCCGTGTGCGCAGACGTTCACACAATGACCTCAAACACATTAGACAGATACTGCACTGGACACTCAGGCCACCAACCCAATGAATCTTGTGGCCAAAATTAAGAATCTGTGGCCACAGTTACAGAAACATGTTTACTGTATATACACTGTATCAATCAGCACTGTGGGCTTGTTACTGAGATCACAGCGCCTGTGTTAACATTACAACTGACAGATTCTAAAGTCTGATTTGATGGAATTATTTTCTGAACAGGAGGCTGAAAAGTAGCTGTTTTTGGTGACCAAACTGCAAAATGTTGTGGCAAGGGGCACAGAGTAAATGACCCCTGCTTGCGTGTGAATGTGAATGTGTGCACAAGGGGGCAGTGTTGAAAACACAGAACATACAGAAAAAACTTTTATGGTAATAATGTGAAGATAAATGGGTCGCACATTTTGATGAAAATACATTTACATGTGCATCTTCACAGAAGTTTAAATCAGCCTTTAATTAGCTAGCTCATCTCTTTTAGAACAGGTTCTGGAAACTTCAGGTTTCTGATGATGGTCCAGTTCCCTCACCCTAATGCAAAACCCTAAACCATAACTGACCCTGGTGTGAGGTGCCTTGGCCTGCAGTGTGTATGTGGTGTTCACTTGATACTCAGTCCATCTGTAAAACAGATCTGAAATCGTACATTGTGTAACCCGGCTAGCTCCCTGACCTTCAGTCCTGAGGTGGTGTCCACAGTGGTTGAGGTGACGGCTGTTGAGGACTCGCTGACCATGCTGGGAGGCCCTGGCTCTGGTGGCGGCTTGGACATGCGGGAATTGGTTCTGCATAAAAAAGACACACAGAGAGCTCAGACAACAGCAGACAGGACGGTCAACCTGAAATTACTACCGTTGTGACAGCGGAGAAAGCAGGGGGTCTTTGTCTTGAATGGACGTTGTGCTGCCTCAAGGCACAGATTCTTTTACAGTGAAAAACACAAAGGAAACAAAAATCTGTACAACTGAAAGCAGCACAATGTCAAACATAATGGCAGGAGAGAGAACATTCACAAAGCAGGACAGCGAGAGAAGTGGACACACAGGATTTCCACTTCACAAACATCTACTTCTGTAGTACCGTAAGTGACTCTCCCCTGAGTACTGGTTACGGTTGTTTTGTCTAGGAGACGTCGTCATTTTACTTATACAGTGGCTTTTCCATGCTTGAAGGTGCTTTACAGTCATCCAGAGGTAATACATTAAACAAGAATGGGGAAAACACCACCCTGCAGTGATAACATCCTGAGACAGAACAAGAAAGAAAACAGTGAAAAAATTTACATAATTTAAAGATTTAGATCAACAACCTAGCAGGCACTTCATTTTGAGAGCTTTGTAGATGGTCACCTTGTCTTTAACTAATATTCAACTAAATATTGAATAAATGCAACTAAACTTTGAAACCAAAAGTAACAGATTCTTTTAAATATAACGCTAAACTTGGGATGGCCGATATGGCAATATTTACTGCTATCATAATAAATTACAGTCCAAAAGTCTAGATTAATCAAAGCCATAATCAACTGATGAATCAATTAAGGAAATCATTAAGTCTGCACTCAATAATCCGATCATCGGATTTCTGTAGTTATCTGATTATTTAAATGGTCATGTAGACACCATACTCCAATCTAGAAATCTGATTAAAAAATCTGATAAAGAGGCTGGATTTTAGCTCTATAATCAGATTTCTCAGTGCATGTGAACTCTTACTCTGATTTCTTTCAGATTTCTCAGTCTGCGTATGCGCGAGAACAGACTGGAAACAAGCGAGCAGCGTTGCCATGAGATGGCAGCAAAACAGTTTTTGAGCGCCAATAACTACTGTCTGACTCATGCAGACCTGGAGTTTTCCCCACTATCTGATTACTCAAGGGCATGGAAACATATTGATCAGATTACTGACAAGATCGGATCTACTGCAGTTATCGGATTATTAAGTGCATGTAAACACACTCACTGTTAGATGCGGCTAACTGTGATGTGTAACCTACCCTAAATCCAAAACATTGACTTTAATTTAAACTCAACTCAGACCCCAACCCCACCCCAACCCTAACGCTGATGACAAGCAACTGACAATTTGCCAGATTGTTAACTGTTAACAATTAATGCATCTGTGGATAATCTAAAAGGGATTATTATTATTATTATTATTATTATTATTATTACCACCAAACCAAATAAAATAAATCTCACAGCCCAATGACAGACACCGTAATGTAAACCACTGTTTGTGCCATAATAAAAATATACACTGACGTGCCAAAAGTCATGGGATAACAGTATGTAAATTGACTATGAAGAGGCGTTGCCTTAGTGGACGGCTTGGAAACGCCCTCACCTATACAAACTGAGAGGTGTCATTTGGTGAGCGAGGTGCTCATGGCAAGGCGACAGGTCATTATAGTGGGTGCCAGATGAGACAATCTATTTCCAAAGCTGCGCAGGCATTTAACATTCCTTGACCCACAGTGTCACATGTGTACCAGGAATACGTCATAGAAGGCATTACCACCCACAGTGGACAGCGCAGTGGCCGCCCACAGGTGCTTGATGATCGTGACCGTCAAACAGACAAGTGACTCTGGCAGAAATAATATCCACACTCAATGCTGGAGTCCTCACACGCATATTCCACAGGTCAGTGCTGCATCTTTAGCTTCCATGGGATCTGGGAGCAGAAGACCCACCAGAGTACCTCTGGTAACACCATAACACCGGACACAGCGCCTCACCTGGGCTCATATGGTTGCTAACTAGACCCTAGAGGACTGGCAACATGTGGTGTGGTCCTAGGAGTCATGGTACCAATTGTTTGGGGCTGATGGTAGGGCTTGTGTGTGGTGCAGACCGCACGAAGCCATGGACCCCAGCTGTCAACAAGGCACTGTGCAGGCTGGTGGTGGTTCCATACTGGTGTGGGGCGTGCTCTCATGGCATGGGTTGGGTCTAAACACGTCTAAACACCTAAACACATCATTGACTGGTGACCACTAGATTTCATTGCTTGGTGACCATTTGCAGCACTTCATGGACTTTGTGAACCCCCACAATGATGGGATATTCCAGCAGGATAATGCACCGTGCCATCAGGCCCAAGTTGTCCAGAACTTGGGGAGAATTCTGTAGACTTCCAACGAATGGTGTGGCCTGCACATTCGCCTGACATGACCCAATCGAGGTTTATTCACACCCAAGATCCTGCACCTACAAGTGCTGTGGGCAGCTATCCAGCTCAACATCCATCCAGACGTCTTCTGTCACATTGCTGCACTTCGCCGGGCTAGAGGGGGTCCTACATGATACTACTTCCTGTCCCATGATATTTGGCACATCAGTGTATATATAATTGTCAATGAAGCCTTTCCAACCTTACAAAAATAAAGGTGCCAAAAAGTTAAGGATGCACTACGACATCAGAATTATATCAGTCTAGGCAGGTAATTATTATTATTATTATTTTTTAATTTTCAGCATCTGATAAATCAATATTTAAGCTTCAATACTAATTAAAAGTCTTTCCAAGAGTGGAACAGCCAAGCCAAGAACCATTTAAAACCTTTTTAAGAGTGTGGCTGCAGGTCCTCAGCTGCCATTTGCTTTCAGGCATACCATCAAATCATTCTGACGTCCCAAATGTACACACCTCCTCTCATGGAAAGCCTATAAGGGTGAGTGTTTCCAAAGAGGGGCATTCACACGCTCTTCACTCGCTCCATTTCCAGCCTCTTGCATTACTAACATTCTCCCTCCATCAAAGTGGCATCAAGTGGGGGTTATAACGGGATTAGAGCTGAAGTATAAGCTCGTGTTATTTAGGTGGCAGCAGGCTCCCAGGGGTCAACCACGTTTAGCTTGTTTGGCCATGAACTCCCTCGGGAGGAGGCTAGAGAACGTCAGACGCTTGGGGAATGCAAGGCAACGCTGAGGTCACTCCACACCTCTACTGTCCAAGGTCACCGGACTCACCGTTACTGTTCTGGACCGTGAATGATACTACACCTTTCAGCAGCTCTCGAGGAAATCCACACACTTGCCAACTTAAGGCATACCTAACAAGGCAGAAAGACTCAAGACCGGCTCATTTGAGATTGCTTTAATAATAAATGATTACCTGAATGTCAGACAAAGCACTCAGGGCCTCTGACACAAAGCTACAAACGAGCTCAATGGCAGGTTAAACACCAGGAACTGATCGATATATCATTTGGCTAAAAGGAAATCGCACATCTAGTGAGGAGAGTCGTTCATTTCTGAGGATTTCCATGGTTTCATGCTGTTACGCCAGGCTTTACAGAGGTTGCTGAGCTGGTAATCACCAATGGTTTACCAACAATAACCTGTACCTAAAAAATTATGCTACAACACAAAACGTCAACAAAATGTTGATCAGAATGCATTTTTCTTCCTTAACATGACATATTTCAGAGCGAAATATGTGGCTGGGAAATTATTGTGACATAATTCTATTCTTCAGGATTTGATGGGGGTGTGAAAAGCAGGCATTCCGAAAAAAAGTCAGCAGAATCCATCTGCCCCTACACTTCAATCAAAGACTACAGAGAAACAAAAAATGTAGTTATTTGAATGATGTGACACAAAGGATTGTGCTTAAAATGACCAAGAACATGACAAGGTCAAAAAAGGTCCATTTTGATTTTCAGGTTGACTTTAAGAGCCTAACAAACTTGACAACTGACCACCATATCTGACGATTCACACTTAGTTGCTGAACACATACAAATGTATGCAAAAATTGTAACACTGCTGGCTGAATTGTGTGTTTAACTGTTCTTTTAAGTGAAAATAAATTAACACATCATCTACAGTGAACTTAAATTTAGTGCACAATAACTATATATTGGCTGAGTTTTAACATATTTGAAAAACAAAAAAATATAAAATGTGCCATAACTTTTGCACAGGCCAGGTTGTATGTTTTATTTTTTCCCCCAGTGTGTTAAATTCAGCAAATAAACAGTAACTGTGCATTTAAAGGTGCAGATGTGTGATCTGTAGAAGATGTGAACTTATTTTCACTTAGAAAATCAACAATACACGTAATTGGCCAGGAGTGCACAGACATTTGCATATAATTATATCTCTGCCAATAAGTGAGTAAAGAAGTGAAAGTTAATCTGGTGGTTTAAAATAAAGCAACAGATCTCTGGAGTTGTGTCATCATTCTGTAGCAGGAACTCCATGTTTTCTGTCGTACAAGCAGCTCAATGATACGTCCGGCCGTTCAGGCATTTTTCCTACTGAAGTTGCCAGATTCTTTGAATGAGTTGGAATACAAATAATGCTACATGCAAGTCTACACTGTAGCCACCACCAGCACACATCTCACCAACATACCCCACACAAAGCAGTGAGCTTGGTCAAGTATGGTGAAGCTGCTTTGGCAGCAGCAGCCTACAATTTGATATGTGACACTGCTAAAGTTTAACAGCATCGATCAATATGAAGGAGTCTTAGCTTGTCTGTAGCATGTATGTAATATTTTTCATATTTTGACTACTAAATAATCTCATAATTTAGAGCATCCAGTGAAAGTCAAGGGGGAAAAGTACAGGACGAAACATATCAGGTTTGAAACTTTTTGTTCCCACAGTGTGCGACGGAGGTGATTCTTTTTTCACGTAGAGAAAATCTGAGGTTCCTAATATGCGCGTGATGCAGACTGAGGCACAACACAACAACAGAAGCTGCGTATCAAAGTCTAGGCTGCAGCCGAGGCAGTGCAGGTCCTCGGTAGGACTGTCCTAAGAAGACTCCTC